TTGTCAAGGAATTTATTTTACTTGGATCCCTTAGAAACAGAAGGCAAGAAATCACTTCACATTTCATTGAGCAAATCTCCTGCATGAGACCGCTTTTAACATGTTAACGAGCAAAAATGTCATGTTGAGAACTAAGGAGTGCTGGATCCAAGCCATGGCATTTTCAGTCCCCTCACAATGCTGTGAAAGCTGGACAATGGAGAAAGAAGGCTGGAGAAGAATTGATACCTTTGACTTACTGTGTTGGTGAAGAGTGATGAAAGTACCATGGACTGCCAGAGAGCAAACAAATGTTTTGGAATAAGTACAGCCAGAATGCTCTTTAGAAGGGAAGATGGCGAGACTGTAGCTAATATATTTGGATAAAAGTCCCTGGAGAAGGACATCATGCTTAGATTAAAAAGGAACGAGGAAGACCCTCGATGAAATTGATTGAACTCAAGCATAGGAAAGATTAAGGTGGTGGCATAAGACCTGGTAGTGTTTTGTCCTCTTGTACATGGGGTTGCTATGCATCAGAACCAACTTGGAGACACATAACAGTAACAATCCAACAGCATTACCAACAAATGAAAAGAGAAGTTTACAGGACAACTTTAAAAAAACAACAGAAATTAATTAGTTGCCTTTTAATCATTTCTGATTCATAGTGACCCTGTCGTAGCAGTGCAGTGCAGTGAATTGTTTATGACTTCTTTGTTACTCCCACCAAATGACTTTTGCTTGTTGGGTCTTGGTAAAAAGGTGGGGCGCAGATACTGATTGTGTTATACAATTCAGCCAAAAGTCATGACCATCCTGCTGGACATAAAATGAGCCATCTCAGAAGCAGGTGGGAGAATCTCACAACCTGCAAAGAGAAGTTCCAGGAGTGGAGTGAAGAGCAGTAACAGCAGTAGAACCAGGAGCTAGAGCATGAGACAGAGCAGTGGGCTTACCAGCCCACAGAGCAAGTAAAACAGTGCTTTGGGGCAACAGTTGGGCTTGTGGAATGGGTGCCTCTTAATTGAGGCGGGGAGCTGAGGTTTGTTGGCCCACAGAACTGGAGCTGAACGCCTTCAGTCTGAGGCTTATAGAGGAGTGGCATGCCCTTTGGGCTTTCAATGGCAGCCCTGAAAGAGCTTTGCAACATTGGACAAGCAGGGCCAAGGCAAGGCCAAAGGCCAGAGAGAGGCCTGTCTGCAGGCACAACAAAGAAGAAACTATCCTGCCTGCACAGTGGTATACTGAGCATTTCCTACAAGAATTTTAACCTGTTAGCTTCCAAAATAAACTCCATAATTGTGAAGTTTTCACCTGCAAGTTCTCTGTGGCTATTGCAGTGAATTGTTGAACCCAGCAAAATGTAGAGTTCCTTAGGAGAAATGCTAGAACAGGGTTAAGGATGGAGAGTGGAAACAGATCTAACCCTTGCCTTGGAGTTAGCAGAAGAGATATGTGGTCCCCGTGCTTGTTCAGCGCCTTATGGTCTGCTGGAAACCCTGTGGTCCAATACATGAGTTGAAAATTGACTCCAAAGTACCCAACATGTTTACTAAATCACATCAATCAAATTATGACCTTGTATTTATTAACAATTTCATAGTATTTATTTTTTCGATTTGAGGCTTATACCAGCAGATTTATCATCAGTTAAATAACCTGACTAAAATCTTGAATTCTTTTCTAAGGAGTTATACAAAACTCATAGTTTTGTTTTAAAAAGAAATACTTTTTCACAATTATTTGTCATCTTACATAGTTTCAAGAAGTTGGCATACAGAAGTGTAATTATTTCATAAACTGAACTAGGAGGGCTAGAGGAAAGTGGGGCAGAGGCTGTTGTTCTACAAG